AACTGATTTTTAATCAGTTAATTTGCATGAATCACATGCATAAAATTATTTACTGAATAATAAAATAAAATAAAATCTGCAAACATTTTTCTGAATGAATGAATAAGAAATAAAGATCATTTTAGATGTTTAATTACTATTTGGAGTATTGGGATCGTTAGATGAGGACTTAATGAACTTGTTTTTGTGAAAACCTCAAATTCGACCAAAATCAACATTTTCCACTTTTTTTGTCTGTAGCTCAAAATTAGCCCTTTTCACACTTCCGTGTTTCTGGCTTCCGGATTGATGCTTGTAGGGTAAAAGTTTTTCCGGTGACAACAGCACTTACTTAACAAGAATGAGTTCTCAAAGTCTTGATCAAAGTCTTTTTTTTTTTTACAAATTAAAGATTATGAAATTGCTTGAACTGCCGGTACTTTACTCTACAAAGCACAAACATTTCACAATTAACTTCCTGCGTCAGCTCGGGTCATCACGAATACAAGTTTGTTTAATTCTAAATGGTGACAGTTGTGCATTATGACTCTCCACATGATTTTTTTTCGCTATTATTATTATTAAAGTAATATTGTACTTTCTACTTGCTCTCCTTTGCATTATTAACGTGATGGTTTAAATGTACGTTGAATAATGAGCCCTGGGAAATACATATTAAACAAGAGATGACTCGGATTCATGACTTCACTCCTATTGTATCAGATTACGTTGTGTTGAGTTTAATATGCTTCAACCGGACTCGAATTGTTCAATGTATTCTTGGAAAAATTTACATCTGGACATAAATGTTTTCATTTTTAAGTAATTTATCAGGATGTGGTGATTCGAGGGAAACGACTGAGTAAATTGAGATAATACGCTCAAATGCACCGGAGATCAAAGACTATTTAAAAAAGGGACTTTGCCGGAGATGGAGAATAGAAACCATCCGGCGTATATCATTGTAAGACAGTTAGCAACTCCGTTTGTTTGTCCCATGTGCATTACTACTCATTTTGCCAGCACGGGTCACACATTTTTCTGAATGAATGATTCTCAATCAGGGTATCGTCATTAAGCTTTAACAGATATAATTATACTTACTGAAATAAAAAAAATACAAAATGAAAAAACCTGGAATAATTATTCATAAACTCAGAATGTAACTAAATATGTTATAAAAGTATGTTGCTTGTTAGTTTACATAAATTATTGGAATGAACTGATTCACTAGAACAAATCAAAATTTCCAACGCTATAAAAATGTAGCAAACAAACTTTTTTGAATCAGTTGATTTACATGAATCATTTGAATGAATTGATTCACTGGCATGAAAATGAATTTCCAATGCTATAAAAATGTTGCAAATAGACTTTTATTTTTGGATCAGTTCATTTACACAAAACTGATTCAATAGAACAAATATACTTTTTTGAATCAGTTCATTTACATGAATCATCTGATTGAAATGATTTACAGGAATGATTCAGAATTTCCAATGCTATAAAATGTTGCAAATAGACTTTTTTGAATCAGTTCATTTAGATAAATCATCTGAATGAATTAATTCACTCGAATGAATATGGATTTCCATTGCTATAAAAATGTTGCAAACAGGCTTTTTTTTTTGGATCAGTTCATTTACACAAATCATCTGAATGAACTGATTCAATAGAACAAATATACTTTTTTGAATCAGTTCATTTACATGAATCATCTGAATGTACTGATTCACTAGAACAAATCAGAATTTCCAATGCTACATATGAGTTTCTTATCAGTTTGCTCATTTGTAAAGCTGTACATGACTACTAGTTGGAAAACATATTGTTACTGGGAAAGATAAAACAAGTTAATAGTGTCGCTGATTGTAGATATTCACTAACCAACACTGTTCAGAAAGCCGCCCGACAACATTTGGTTGAGTTTGCATACGTCTCTGAGTGCGAGGCCGAGCTCTGGGGTATCATGGGAACCAGTTCAAATCACAAGGGACCCAATGCAATCACAAAGGCCAAGCAAAACCACATCAGCCGTAATCTGATCCAGCCTCAAAGTCATTGGCATTTGTTTGCTGAACAAAGTCTGACTGACCCTGCTTCGCTCGGGCTTTGTAACAGGACAGATATTACGTGGAGATGGGCTTTACTCTCTAAGCCTCTCTTCAGCATCCTCACCGGCCCAACGGGACACAAAGGTCCCCATTATGACGGAGGCAAACCATCTGGAAGGGAGCTGAACAGCGCTGGGAGTCGAGCAGGTAAGCGGCGCAGAGATCCTCCCTCAGGTGGGTCATCGGATCCGCTGTGGCTTCCTTCCCAGACATAATGGCCCTGATTTTCATGTGTGGGAAAGAAAGCCAGAGAACAGAGGGACTCTGCAGAATCCCAGATGGGAATTTACCTAAACCACTCAGTGTGTGTATGTGTGTGTCTGTGTGTTAAATAGAGAACGAAAGTGAGTATAATGTCACTTGGCACAGCTAGATCAACTAACTGGATAGACCCAAACACACCCCTTGCCTGAAGCTAGACGGAGGGCAAAACGCTCTTTCTTTCAAACGCTCAATAGCAGGAAGAGCTAAATAAAACAGTGCAGTCTCCCTGGCAATGCATTCAGTGCAGTATCATGCCTTTGGGGTACAGCAAACACTTCAGAAAGACAAGCACCCTCTATAATAGGGCAGGGCCGCTGAAGCATTCCAAAACACACACGCTATTAGCCCTCACATGCAGCCGGTCGCAAGTCATAAAATCATGCCAGAGGAATGACAAGCTGCCTCCTCCGAAAATCTAAGCTTGTTGACGGTCCCGGAGTTTGCTGCAAGTGATAATTACACACTGGACCACAACTGTCTGGAACCAGAACTGGCTCTTAAGGCCTCAGGCGACATGATTTGATAAGCGAAGTCTGTTCTGGTCTTGTTCTTTGTGGGAAAGAATCTTAAACAATATGCTCTGAAGCATTCTTTATGTACAGCAGGGTAGTCCACACCTATTCCTGTATGGCCACTGTCCTGCAGAGTTTAGCTCCAGTAGAGCATGATGTTAGCAACACAAAGGTCATGGGTTCGATTCCCAGGGAATGCATGAACTTATCAAATGCACACCTTGAATGCAACTCAAGTTCCTTTGGATAAAAGCATCTGCCAGATGCATAAATGTAAAAATCACTATCCATGAAGGGTGATCACACCTGAACCAACTAATCAAGGTCTATAGACTCACTAGAAACGTCCACACGAGTGTGTTGGAGCTGGTTGGAGCTAAACTCTGCAGGATGTTGGCCCTCCAGGAGAAGGATTGGACACCCCCGATGTACAGTAGCCTGGTTTACATTTATGCATTTCGCAGACGCTTTTACATTGCATTCAGGGTAAGCATTTCATCAGAGCATGATGTTAGCAACACCAAGGTCATGGGTTCGATTCCCAGGGAATGCATGGACTGATCAAATGCATAAATGTAAACGTCACCATACTGTACATCAAGGGTGTCCACATCGCATTCAAGGTAAGCATGTCATCCCATCAACAATCCCTGGGAATCAAACCCATGACCTTGACATTGCAAGTGCTACGATTTGATAAGGGTAGCTTGTTCTGGTATTGTTCTTGGTGGGCTGGCCCTCCAGAAGCAAGATTGGACACCCCTGGCGGACAGTTTGGTGACATTTACATTTAAGCATTTGGCAAATGCTTTCATCCAAAGCGACTTACATCGCATTCAACGTATGCATTTGATCAGTTCATGCATTCCCTTGGAATTGAACCCATGATCTTGAAATTGCTAGTGCCATGATTTATTAAGGGAAGCTTGTTCTGGTCTTGTATTTGGTGGGAAGGAATCCCAAACAAGATGCTCTGCTACGTTCTTTATGTACAGCAAGGGTGAGTTTAGCTCCAACCCCAATTAAACACACCTAAACCAACTAATCATGGTCTTTAGACTCTCTAGAAACTTCTATGTAAGTGTGTTTGCAATGGTTGGAGCTAAACTTTTGCAGGACTTTGGCACTCCAGGAGCAGGATTGCACACCCCTGATGTACAGCATGGTGACATTTACATTTATGCTTTTGGCAAACTCTTTTATCCAAAGTGACTTGCACCGAATTGAAGATATTAATTTAATCACTTCACGCATTCCCTGGGAATCGAACCCATGACCTTGTCGTTGTTAGCGCCAAGTCTGGAACCAGAACTGGCTCTTAAGGCCTCAGGTGACATGATTTGATAGGGGGAGGTTGTTCTGGTCTTGTTCTTGGTGGGAAAGAATCCCAAACAAGATGCTCTGCCACATTCTTTATGTACAGCAGGGGAGTCCAATCCTGTTCCTGGAGGGCCATTAAATGAACCTGAATTTGAACCAACTAATCAAGGTCTCTTCAGACTCAATAGAAACGTCCATGCAAGCGTGTTTGCACTGGTTCGGGCTAAACTCTGCAGGACTTTGGCCCTCCAGGAGCTGGATTGGACACCCCTGATGTACAATATGGTGACATTTACATTTATGCATTTGGCAGATGCTTTTATCCAAAGTGACTTACATTGCATTGAAAGTATGCATTTTATCAGTTAATGCATTCCTTGGGAATCGAAACCATGATCTTGACATTGCTAGTGCCATGATTTATTAAGGGAAGCTTGTTCTGGTCTTGTTTTTGGTGAGAAAGAATCCCAAACAAGATGCTGTACTGCGTTTTTTATGTACACCAAGAGTGCCCAAACTTGTTCCTGGAGGGCCGCTGTCTTGCAGAGTTTAGTTCCAACCCCAATTAAACACACCTGAACCAACTAATCAAGGTCTTAAGACTCATTAGAAACTTCCATGTAAGTGTGTTTGCACTGGCTGGAGCTAAACTCTGCAGGACGTAGGCCCTCCAGAAGCAGGATTGGACACCCCTGAGACTTACATTGCATTGAAGGTATGCAATTGATCAGTTCATGCATTCCCTGCGAATCGAACCCATGACCTTGGCACTGGAATGGCAAACTTCAAAAGAGTTGACAAACGTTTTTACCTGAGTTCTCTTTGTTGCTCCGTTTCTCGATGTCAGGAAAGGCCGCCTCCAATTCCAATTTTCCAAATCGAAATGCATAACCATTCATAAGTTTCTTGGGAAGGCCACTACCGGATCCACCGGAAGACGACCGAGCCCGGTGGCCTTTAACCTGCAAGGCCTTGTTGGTACGTTCAAGAGATTTGGAGCGTCTCTCGCCCGGACTGAGCTCGGCGCTCTTGGATGGATGGACGGTGGTAGAATCGTTGCATGATTCATCTCCTCCCAGCCATCCACGAACACAGATTCTCAGAGGGATCGGCTGCTTCGGGCCAGAGCCGCGAGGCGCTCCTGGCTCCGACTCCGTCCCTTCCTCAAGAATTGATTCAGAGCTGGAGCCAAGGTTCATAGGGTTCTGCAAAGCCTCCATGTAGGACTTGCGGAAAAGCCGGCGAGACTCGAAGGCAGCAGAGTCTCTGGGATGCCGCTTGCGAAGGCCGGGATTGCTAAGGTCTGTGCTAAACGAGAGGATTTTGTGGCCGATTCTGCCTCGAATGCATCCCTGATCCGAGCTGCCCAAGGTGGGTGTCTGGGGAAGGGAGCTAGGACTCTTTTGCAAGGGCGAATCCTCCGAGTGCAAGGAGCTGATGCCCATATCCGTGAGGCTCCGGCTGAGGACTGGCTCGGACACGGTGGACTCAGCGCCCAGGGAGTCTCGTGAACTGAGCGTTCCCGTGGATCCATGGGTGCTGCAGGTACTGAGTTGACCCCGCAGGGTCCCGCCGCTGCACGCCTGCATGATTGCGTCTGCGGTGCTGGTCACGAACAAAGGATTGACCACGTTCTTCCAGGGCGTTCGGTAAACCACGGCACCGGTACTGAGGAGGCAGTTCTGGAGAGGGTGCAGGTTGCGTTCACGCATTACATTCTGCAAGAAGTCGGGCGTGAACACGCTGCCGTACATGCTCTCGGCCACAGGGATCTCCGCAATGGCTTGCCCGCTCCCTGACAGGCATTTTATGACCAGTTTGGCAGCTTTGCGGCCTAAGGGAACCACCTGCAGGTAGAAATCTCCCTGCCGTAGACGTACTTTATGCAGGGGTGCGAGTTGCAGAACCACCTTCTCATGCAAACACAGCGGCCATCCCTCGTGGTACAGCAACAGGCCTTTGAATCGCAGCTGTGGAAAATTAAAAGGATGAATTCATTAGATAAAATGCCACTTTTCTTACAGGTACAAGCAACAATATGCAGTTATTTGCAGTTTGCAATCATTAATTAATTCCTGTCTTGAAGCAGATTTCAAGATACAAAAATGCAATGAATTAGAACATCATGGAATTCTAAAATATATATCTAAAAGTGAAATTATTATAAATAATATAATTATAATTATAAATATAATTATAAAAGTTAAATAAATCATAATTTCTTTATCACTCAATAGAATGGCAAAAATGACAACTAGGTGGCATACTTGTACTTTTGTTAACTGAAATAAAATAAAATATAAAAAGATTTTTAATTATTTTAGCTAGTTCATTTCTCATTTTCATTTAGTTCAACTTGATGTTAAAAAATAAAAAAAACTGAAACTGAAATAATTTAATAAAAAAAACTATAGAGATATATTTAAAATAAACAAAAACTACTAAAAATGAGGAATACAAAATTACTAAAACTTTAACCAAAAATGAGGAATACAAAATTACTAAAACCAAAATTAAAATAAAATTATAAAAATAAAAACTATTTTTTTTATTTAAAAAAAACTATAATAGTACCTCAATGAAATTAAAGTATCACTGATTTGAAAAGAAAAAATTTCAATAAATAGAATATCAGCAAATAAAATTAGAAACACTATAATTTATGTAATGAAAACATTAAACATAAGGATTAAAATTAAAAAGATGTAAAATTCCTTGCAGGGATTCAAATAATTCAGCGAATGAATGAATGATCAAACAAATAAATAAAAATTGTTGTGCGCTAACAAGCAATTTAACACAATAAATCAGACTGGCCAACATTTTTTATGAGAGACTTCTGCACAGACAATACAGTGTGAAAAAGACATTTTATCATGGTACATCAATAAAGAACTTCGCTACTTATATACTTAATGCTACTGAAAAACCAATTAATTTAGTAGCATTGTTAGTGACTCCCTGATGCCACTGTATAATGATACTGATGATGCAGCCAGAACATGTAAGTTCAGCACACTGTGACTCCCTCAAAGATCACGCCTGAGTTAAATGAGGCCGTTGAGAGCTCTCGTCTCAGAGTAACAACGGCAGCGCTGAATACAGGAGTGTAAGGTTTCAGCTATGTGCTCACACAGCGCTAACCTGCAGAAATACAAAGTCTCCCTGAGCAGGTCTTTCATTTCAGCCTGATCCTCTTTGCCAAGTTCTCCGCAGCGAGCTCACAACACGCTCTGTTTGGGCTGTTTATCAGAGCAACACTGAACCCTCTTTCAGCCTGAAGTATTCCTTCTCCCTCTCATGTTCCCACTCTCACAATGTTTCTCTCTGAGAGTATTTAAATGGCTTGAACATGTTTAGCTGCAGCACTATGGATTTCAACAACAATATCTGAATATTACAAAATAATAAAATATTCAGCAAACCTGTGTAAACTGCATTACCAGGCCATTAATACACAATATCGAGTTTAAAGATTGCGTGATGCATGATGCATCACCATGCAGGTTCCATAAATAAATAAATAAATAAGTTGTTTTTATTCAACGAGCATGGACATTATGCATAATGTAAATACATATAAAAAAAAAACAAATATGTATTTATTTATTTGAATATGTATGTAAATGTATTATGCATAATATAATATATATATATATATATGTGTGTGTGTGTGACCCTGGAGCACAAAAGCAGTCTTAAGTCGCTGGGGTATATTTGTAGCAATAGCCAACAATACAATGTATGGGTCAAGATAATTGATTTTTCTTTTATGCCAAAAATCATTAGGATATTAGGTAAATAAATAATTATATTATACATAATATATATTATATTATATGTAATAATTATATTATACATTTGGTAAATAACAAAAACTGTGATCTATTAGTAGATATTGCCCGCTGTTTTTATTAACTTGGAAATGCTTCAGTGAAAATGCGTCTGCTGAAGCTGACAGTACTCACACAGGCCTCCTGTGTTATTGTCTGCAGGATTCTCTTGGCGGGCAGCAGGAAGTCAATGAAGCAGCGCAGGCCGTCTCCGCGGTACTGTCTCTCCACGACGCTGAAGAGCTGCCACAGGACGGTGGCCGCCGAGGCGCTGAACGGAGGGTACAGAGCCGATAACACGCTCCGAATGCAGCGGTCCAATGACTCCGAGTCCTGCAACAGATCACACATTCACACAGTCAATCTCGCCTTCTACCACAAACATTTACTGTACATTGTTTGAGTTTGGTAATAAAATTTACAATATTTAAAAGCTTGTTATATAACAAAAGCAACAAAGCTTATTGTAATTACTGGATGACAGGTGTGCTTCAAATAATGTTTAGTGAAATTTTGTTCATGCATCAACTGAAAACAGCATATATGTGACCCTGCAGCACAAAAGCAGTCTTAAGTCGCTGGGGTATATTTGTAGCAATAGCCAAAAATACATTGTATCGGTCAAAATTATCGATTTTTCTTTTATGCCAAAAATCATTAGGATATTAAGTAAAGATCATGTTCCATGAAGATATTTTGTAAATGTCCTACCGTAAATATATCAAAACTTAATTTTTGATTAGTAATATGCATTGCTAAGAACTTCATTTGGACAACTTTAAAGGCGATTTTCTCAATATTTAAATTTTGTTGCACCCTCAGATTCCAGATTTTCAAATAGTTGTATCTCAGCCAAATATTGTCCTATCCTAACAAACCATACATCAATGGAAAGCTTATTTATTCAGATGATGTATACATCTCAATTTCGAAAAATTGACACTTATGAGAGGTTTTGTGGTCCAGGGTCACATATCTCGGTTCATGAAATGAAGATTGAATAAAAATAAAAATCGATAGTCAACCCAGCCCTAGCGTTCCAAAAATGGATATGTTTATATATATTTTATTCGAAAAGCATGAAAAAGCATAATAAGTGTGAAAAATTGTTATGCATAATACAAATAAACTAACGAACAAATAAGAAAACATTTATTTTACTATATATAAATATTTTTATTTGCATTATGCACGATACATTTCCATGCATGTCCAAAATGAATAATAATAATAACAAATAATAATAACAATATAATACATATATACACATTCACACACAGATAGATAGATAGATAGATAGATAGATAGATAGATAGATTAAATGTCAACTGAATTACCAGCCCGTTAATATACAATATCGAGTTAAAAGATTGCATGACAAATTTCCATGCTAGTCCAATAAACATAAATAAATAAATAAAAAATAATGTCAATAATTTCAGCCCTACAAAACTGTTTCGGCCAATACCGAAAATTCATTTTTAGCTTAATATTTTCAATTGCTGAAATTTTGTTGTCACTAATTTACTGTAGGACACATGAAGCATCACTTTCTGTCATTATAGACTGAATCAAACACCCAATGATTGAGCACAGTGCGATCGTGCAAACAATGGCAGCATGTTGTGTTTGGTTTGATTAGTGAGACGGTTTGATGGTCACAAGTTCAATCCCACAGTTCCCAGTTACAAACACGAACAGCAGGATGTCAGGAGGTCGCGGGACACTGATGAGACAGGAAACACCTGTCAATGTAGCGTCACCGACTGGACAATAACAGGCGGGATGGAAAATCCTGTCCCTAACGCAGAACTACATCATATCTGTGGAGCAGAGGACTTTCCAGCCGGATATGCGTCACAGCATCCTAGACTAACACAACCGCGACCTGGGACGCTCAGTTTTAGGTTAAAGGGACAGTTCACCCTAAAATTAATATTTGCTGTTAATTTTAATCCAAGATGTAGGTGAGTTTTTCTTCAGTAGAACGGTAAAGAAGATTTTTAGCTGAAACCGTGCTCTTTGGTGATTCATGAAATGCAAGTCAATGGCTACCGAGTCAAAAACGCACATCAGGCTACACAAAATTAACCCGTTTTAATCCCATATCTTTCCCAGACATGAAAATATCCAAATGATGTGTCATTACTAACTCTTTGAAATAATCAACAATTTTTTTTTTTTTTTAATTCTTTGGAAAAGTGAAAAATTGTGTTTTATGGTCACAACTGTGACTGGTGGGATAATGTGTTTACTGAATTAACATATTTCTGCAGTCAAAATAATTGTTATATATCTTAGCCCAGCTATTTTAAACTCTTTGATCACATTCTAGGGTTACTATTATGCATAAAAACCCTTATACAACATTGATAGGAATACTGAGATAAGACAAAAACAAAACAAAAAATACAACCATTAACATATTTCAAAATTGCTGCTTTTTGTAACATAGATCATCATATTTTTATATTAGTGCTACCAGTATTACAAAATTAATATTCTAACTTATTTGTAACATTTGAACTTTTGATTTAGTGCAATATTTTGTACTGCCATTA